ATTCATTATCTTATCTGTATAAGTGGATTATTGGTGTTTAACTTGTCTACCAAGGAACCCATTCATATTGAGAGGGGTCCAGGCTCAGCTGCAGGGAAGGAAAGGGAAAGCGAAAGAGCCTGGCTGGCTGCCTCCTGGCAGCACGTGGAGGGAGGACTTCCCTCTCGCCTAGTGGGCGGGGCCTGCGCTTCTCCATTAGAAGGCTGTTGAGGGCGCATGGGGCCTGCAGGAGGAGGCGTGGCCTAAGGACAAAACAGCGCCCCCTGGCAAAAAAAGTATTCCGCGACCGCTTACTTCGAGTAATGGACGGGCCGGCCCTGCTCCCATCCAAAAGAGGCGATGGCAACACATCTCCAGGAGGAGGCATGGCCTAAGGACAAAACAGCGCCCCCTGGCAAAAAAAGTATTCCGCCACCGCTTACTTCGAGTAATGGACGGGCCGGCCCTGACTGTCACTTCTTTTGTTATCCATGGTCCTCATTGCAGGCCAGAGTATTGATACCATTCATCGATGGGTGGGTTGAGGGAGTAATAGTTCACGCAAATCATCCCAACCTAATTGCACTGAATATCACAGAAAATTACATTCTAACCCCCCTAACAGATCTTAATGCTCTGCTTATAAAATCTGTGACCTACTAAAGTCAACCTCAAGCACTTATCTACTTGATCAAGTGGAAAAAAAGGATGGAATGGGACATTATGATGATGCCCTCTAGGATCACCAGCCCATTTTTCTCCCATGTTTAATTCACTGATAACAACGTGAGGTATTGTCGAAGGCTTTCATGGCTGGAATCACTGGGTTGTTGTAGGTTTTTCGGGCTATATGGCCATGTTCTAGAAGCATTCTCTCCTGATGTTTTGCCTGCCTCTATGGTAAGCATCTTCAGAGGTTGTGAGGTCCCAATGAGGACTATGGGATTGATAGCAAAGGAAGTGACCTCACAACCTTTGAGGATGCTTGCCATAGATGCAGGCGAAACGTCAGGAGAGAATGCTTCTAGAACATGGCCATATAGCCCCAAAAACCTACAACAACCCATTTTAAATAGGTTTTATCATAACTGTTTTTTTTCTTGGTCTCTCCCCCCCCCCCCCCCAATTTTCCTCTTAAAGAAGTAGTTGAGCTGCTCAAGTGGGAATACAAAACATTTGGCTTGATACATGTCTAAATTAGTTATTTTAGATGATAGTCATATAAAAAAAAACACCCACCTCCTTAAGTCTTAGAATAGTCTGCTCAATATCACATATACTGGGAGGAGACAGAGCTGTTGCTAATAAAGCCCTGGGTTCTCCCATGTTAAGCAGCTTCACTTTTAATACAGTAGTTTCCAATGGACATCGCTGAAAGAGAAATAACAAATGATGCCTTTTATTAACATCTAGAAAAGGTTGCTTACTCTTACTCTCTAGACCAAACTAAACAAAGGAGAACAAGAACATTGCAATTATAATTTTTAGAGGTCATCTTTGCAGTCTCACATATTGGTTTGCAACCTTCTAAAACCTGCTCTGGCTTGAAACGTTTTGGGAAGTCTGGCTTCTCAAAGCTCAAGGTGTGCAACACAGTTCCCTCACTCCTGTTCAGTGGCTAATAGACAGCTACAGGATCTGCACAAAAATGCATCAGACCAAGATCAACAAGAAAATGATCCCTGTAGGAGACAGTAGATTCCATTTTCCTGAAGAAGTGAAAACAAATATTCTGAAAGTCCTGCAAGCAGGAGCGGAGAGAGTTCTACTTTCCTCCATTTTTGTCATACAAATTGCACATCCCAAGAGGCTATTTATCTATTTATTTATTTATGACATTTATATGCCGCCCTTCTCACCCCAAAGGGGACTCAGAGCGGCTTACAAGGTATATAGACATACAATATTATATTATTAGCATAGTACATTGTATGTCGAAGGCTTTCATGGCCGGAATCACTGGGTTGTTGTAGGTTTTTCGGGCTGTATGGCCATGTTCTAGAAGCATTCTCTCCTGACATGACCTCACAACCTCTGAGGATGCCTGCCACAGATGCAGGTGAAACGTCAGGAGGGAATGCTTCTAGAACATGGCCAAACAGTCCAAAAAACCTATAACAACCCAGACTCCTTCATCTGTTGGGGAACAATAGTTCTAGGTAAGGTAAAGGGAAAGATTTCCCCTCAATATGAAGTCTAGTCGTGTCCAACTCTGGGGGGTAGTGTTTATCTCCATTTCTAAGCCAAAGAGCCAGCGTTGTCCTTAGATGCTGCCAAGGTCATGTGGCTGGCATGACTGCATGGAGCGCCGTTACCTTCCCACTGGAGCGGTACCTATTGATTTACTCACATACAAATTGCTAGGTTGGCAGAAGCTGGAATTAACACCAGGAGCTCACCCTGTTCCCTGGATTCAAACCACCGACCTTTCAGTCAGAAGGTCCAGCAGCTCAGCAGTTTAACCCGCTGCACTACCAGGGGCTCCATAGTTCTAGGTAGGTGTTCAGAAATACTGTACTGGAGAGCTAAAAGCAGGGCAGACATGATGGCACCATCTCTAAAGTTTCCATCAGGGTCTAATTCTCTTTAATTCCACTTTCAACTATAAAGATATATACACCATGGGAGCAATGCTTACCATCATCTCAGGAACACTGGTCTCAGGGATGCACCGGGTCCAAAAGTCTTTACGTACCAGCCTGTAGCAGTATCCCTTAGAAACACGGCCAGCTCGGCCTATGAATAAAAAGGGAAAGAGCGTGAAGAATAAAGAAGCCATGGACTGCTATACAATGATTGGAAACCCTCTTCAGTCATGGAAACTCAATAGGTCACACACTCTCAATCTTAGAGGAAAACAATGGCAAATCCCAGAATAAATCATTTCAAGAAAACCCTAGGATAGAGTCACCATACATAGTGGACCATTTGGAGAAAGCACAGAATATAAGTTGATTCTAAATTAGAATTGCGGCTGCAGTGCCATCTTTAAAACTGTACCAGCTTAAAAGTTTCAACAATGACTATGTGTGCCTTTAATATAATTATTTATTTATTATTTATTTATTTATTTATTTTTATTTACTGCACTTGTAGACCGCCGTTCTCAGCCCTAGGGCGACTCACGGCGGTGTACAACACGTAAAAACAGGTACAATTTCCAGCATAAGAAATAACACAACAACATTAAACAACATCACTATCAATAATACCATTACACTAAATCATTCGCGCCGTCTCATTGTTGAATCACAATCCAATCTCGTTATCCATGTTCCGTTCCAATCGTCATTGCCAGTTATTGCAGCACTTACTCAAACGCCTTCTCAAACAACCACGTCTTTAGTCTCTTGCGGAATGACATAAGGGAGGGCGCCAATCTGATGTCCACAGGGAGGGTGTTCCACAGCCGGGGGGCCACCACCGAGAAGGCTCTATCTCTCGTCCCCGCCAGGCGTGCCTGTGAGGCAGGCGGGATCGAGAGAAGGGCCTCCCCGGACGATCTCAAAGTCCTCGTGGGCTCATAGGCCGAGATGCGGTCAGACAGGTATTTTGGGCCGGAACCGTTTAGGGCTTTGTAGGCCAACACCAGCACCTTGAATTGGGCCCGGTAGCAAATCAGCAGCCAGTGGAGCTGGAACAACAAGGGCGTTGTGTGCTCCCTGCGTCCCGCTCCTGTTAGTAACATGGCTGCCGCGCGCTGGACTAGCTGGAGCTTCTGGGCCGTCTTCAAGGGCAGCCCCACGTAGAGAGCGTTGCAGTAGTCAAGGTGGGATGTGACCAGAGCGTGTACTACCATGGCCAAGTCAGACTTCCCGAGGTACGGGCGCAGCTGGCGCACGAGCCTGAGCTGTGCAAATGCTCCCCTGGTCACCGCTGAGACCTGGGGATCCAGGCTCAACGATGAATCCAGGATCACACCCAAGCTGCGAACCTGCGCCTTCAAGGGGAGTGCGACCCCATCCAGCACAGGCTGTAACCCTATACCCTGTTCGGCCTTGCGACTGACCAGGAGTACCTCTGTCTTGTCTGGATTCAATTTCAATTTGTTCGCCCTCATCCAGACCGTTACAGCGGCCAGGCACCAGTTCAGGACCTCGACAGCCTCCTTAGTAGCAGGTGGGAAGGAGTGACAGAGTTGGACATCATCTGCGTACAGATGACACCGCACCCCGAAACTCCGGATGATCTCACCCAGCGGCTTCATGTAGATATTAAATAGCATGGGGGACAGTATAGAGCCCTGTGGAACCCCACAAGTCAAAGGATGTGGTGTTGAACAGGTGTCCCCCAATAACACCTTCTGGGTGCGGCCCTCCAGAAATGACCGGAGCCACTGTAGAACAGTGCCCCCGAGGCCCATTTCCGCAAGGCGCCCCAGAAGGATACCGTGGTCGACGGTATCGAAGGCCGCTGAGAGGTCCCCCCTGTCTAGCTCCTGGCGCAGATCATCCACTAAGGCGACCAAGACCGTCTCAGTTCCATGTCCCGGTCTGAAACCAGACTGTGCCGGATCCAGAATATCCGTGTCTCTCAAGAATACCTGGAGTTGTGAGGCCACCACACTTTCCATGACTTTGCCCAAAAAGGGGAGATTGGAAACAGGCCGAAAGTTGTCAAATCTAGTGGGGTCCAGTGATGGTTTTTTCAACAGCGGTTTTATAATAGCTTGTTTTAAGCTCGCTGGAATCTTGCCTTCCCGAAGGGAGGCGTTAACCACCACCTTACCCACTCAGCCAATCCCCCTCTGGCCTCCTTCAGAAGCCAGGATGGGCAGGGGTCTAGGATGGACGTAGTAGGCCTCATTCCTCCAAGTATCTTGTCCACATCCTCGGGCTTCACCAATTGAAAAGAATCCATCAAAATAGGACA